TATTTTTTTATATTGAATATATAACATATATATACACACACAAACTTTTATAACTCGATATTCTAAATGCATAGAATTGATATAACCCGGTGCGAAAATTGCGTCAGCCTACCTATAATATAATATTCTTCTAACACGGTTTTTCCATATAGCACAATTTAATAAACTTGGACAATTCTCATATAACACAAATATTTCCCCCATCAGTTTTATTTTTCTTTAATACAATTTTGATAGAAAAAAGAACGAATTATTCGTTTTAACAATTTTCAACAAGTTCGAATGCATTCACACATATTTATATATTGAAAACTGTGTTAAAACTATCTAATAATAATTTATACACACAATAATAAATAATAACATAAGTAATACTATACAAATTTTTACTGAAATTATATAATTATTATATTTAATCAAAAAGAATTAGAAATTCTATTAAATAAGTCATACTAATTATAATATTGTTATTTATATTTCATAAAGAGAAACTTTCGAATAGTTTTAAAACAAATGAGTGTAATAAACGTAAATTTTTTTTTTTTTTAGTAAAGAATTTCAAATGTTACAAATATATACCCGGAAAACTTTTCGTTAACTTTTTCGAACAATTTTTCTTCTCCACCGTTGTAAGAATATTTCAAAAGCAGTTATGCTCTCTTCTAGAATGTAGCAATTATGCAAAACGTAAATTATGTTTTCTCGTCCTTGTTCTCCCATCCCTACCCCCAATTTTCCCCCCCACCTCTCTCATTTTCTATTTCTTTCTGTAAAATATTTTAAGTTTCCGCGAGCGAGTTATCGTGGTGAATCAAGAAAATTTGATGAATTGCATTATCCCCATTAATTCTAAGACTGTCTACTTGTTAACGCTCGAGAAATTTACCTTGGTAAAATTTAAAACAAAAAAAAAAAAAAAAAAAAAAAAAAAAAAAACAAATTAAATGTATGTATTTAAATTATTTCAACAATGAAAGTATTCGAGATAAATTTTGTATATGATTAAAATTTATATTTTTTTTCATTTTTTTTCTTATTTCGTGTTACCTTAAAGTCGTAATAAAAAATCTTCGAAATTGAAATAACTTTGTAAAAAAAAAAAAAAAAGCCATTCTTTCTTTTATAAACAATGGAAAAAGTATTTAAAGGAAGATTACAATATTCCAGAACGAATATATTGGACAAA